TAATTGCACTTAAAAACCCAAAGAGACATAGTGCTCATATGATCAATTCTTTATACAACAAACTTGCTAGTCATGCTTTTTGTTAGATACAATAATGTAACCCAAACACATGATAGGTACGTGTCCTATCCTGTGTTTCAATAAGTGTCCAACCTATCCTGTGTTTGGGTTACATTATTGTATCTAGCTTTTTGCGTATATAATATTAATAATTAATAATAATATATCCTTGATAATGATGAGTTGATAGTTATCCAATTTTATGAATTCAGAATTTTATTGTAAAAGTATGCTATGTATTGTATATGATGGTTAATTGCCTAAATAAATAAATGAAAATAAAAATAACGTACAGTTGTCACTTTGACTGTGCCAGTGTCAGTGACTCACTATCACTGACTGTGCAGTGTAGACTGTAGTGTATGCTGTAAGTCGAATAATTTTTGCCAATTTACTTCCAGGTTGGAAACTTGATTGTTCATAAACACAAATCTGGCTTTGAGGCAACAGTTATACCCATATATGAAGGTACTATGATACTTTAATTAATGGGCACAGTTCTTGAGGCTTTTTAGGCAAGCGAAACATACTACAAATACAATACAAGCTAGATAGTGCATTGTGAAACCGTCTAGATCGCACAAACACGGTGTCGAGTTTGATCATTGACGATCCAACACTGGATCATTTGTGTGTAATTGCCGGTTTATTCGTGCTTTCCAGGCAAAAACGTCATAGGTCGTACTGCAGAAAAATGCGATGTGCACATTCCGGTAAAGCCACTGTCGAAACAACATGCATGCATCGAGATTCATGGCAGCTCCTGTGTGCTGTATGACATGGGCAGCCGAAACCGCACCAAGCGCCGCGATGTGAGTGAAAAATAGTCAAACCTGTAAATGAGAGGTATTCAATGGCAATGCTAAAAGTGTCTTTTATAGGCAGCTTTCCACTCTGTAAAAGTTTTCCAATTATGAAGGTTTGACTTTATATAATTTTGTGAGGCATTTCGAATGCTCCTACAGGATCTAGCATAATCTGATAATTGAGCACTTAGTAAATTAATACATTGAGCACTAGGTGCATGAAGAGCCACATACTATTTAGGAAATTCTGTAGGAATGTATAAAAGAATGCTTGGCAAATGGAAATCAAAAGGAATGACGAGGAAGTTGAAATAAATTTGCAGCGAGTTTGTAAACTCTCAGTCAGCCATATCAGACTTAGATATCAGTGATTTTTTGATCAAGCTAAAAAGAACTTCGTTTTCATTATATTATTTAACCATAACTGATCACATATCCTTTATTTGCTGTTGCATTATTTTACGGAATCTTTGTGTGCGGCTGACGCATTTTCCCATGTATTATTATTTTCCAGTTGTCGCTAGAGCCATGGGTACGCTATGAGCTGCAACATAATGACGGTTTGACCTTTGCCGATGTCACATCTCAATTCCAGCTGCTAAGCAAGGTTATTGTTTATAAGATGCTTTGTCTTCATGAGTATCATATTCATTGTTGCATGTTTCTAATGTTAAATGTCTTGATACATTGGAGAACCAGTTCACTATTTCATACTGTAATTGCGAGTTCATAATTCAATCACATTATCGGAATGTTAGTTCGAAATTCAGTGGTACTAGGCTTAGTTCACAATTCCATGCTGTTAAACTTGTTTTGTCGGGAAGTTAGAATCATTCTCTCTGGCATTGTCTTCCAAACCGATGCATTGTCAGGAGAGGATTCCATCTGGTAGCGAGTCAGAAACGGACTCAGAGTCTATGTTCAACATGCAACCACCAGGTGGCACCTCTGTTGCTTCTAAAGAACTCCAAGCATTAGATTCACAAGTCTATCTCCAGCCAACACAGGTAACAACACTAAATCTTTAACAGAGAAAGGGAGGTTGCACAGAAGAAAATCACTAGTAAAGCAAGCTGGCACAGGAAACCTTAAATACTTTTCATTAAATTCACTCGATGTGCCTCCTACTATAACATGGTTCGCACAGTCCTTGAAAAGTCCTTGAATTTGAGGGGAGTCATTGAAAAGTACTTGAATTTAGTAAATGTTGATTTTGTGTTTGAAAAGTGCTTGAATTTTTATGAAAATGTCCTTGAATTTTTAGAAAGAATCATTGCCTGTAATAAAAAGAAATTTTGTACCATCAATAATGTGCAAACCTCAATAAAAATTGCGTTAAATGAGCTTAAAAAGCTATAGACACGATAGACAGTTAAATGATGATCACAAATTACAGTAAGTCACTAAAATCAGTCATTAAATCAAGGTATGTTGTAGAAGTGACAGTGTTTAGAAGGGTTTATTAATGTGATCCAGGTAAGTTTCAGAGGTGACATGCAGTGATTAAGAATGGGGTTATTAAATTAATCCAGGTATGTTTTGTTCTGTGTATGAATTCTGATAAAATGTCCTTGAATTTCCAATAAAATGTTCTTGAAAAGTCCTTGAAAGGTCCTTGGAAAAAATTTCAGTCCTGTATGAACCATGTATAATAATGAGATTAAAATCATCTGATATCTTGCATATCTTTTTTCTCACTCTGATTTAGGCATATGCGTCTGATGGCACGGGGCCAATATCTGGTTCAGCAGGAAGCAGCATTGAGCAGAGAACAAGCGTAGATAAAGACGGGGCGACCTTTGTAGCGGACACGCCTTATCGGCAACCAGGGAATGTAGTCGTGCTGTCTGATAGTGATCCACGCTCTAACCTTCTCGCAAAACAGCTACACGATGGTACCCTTATTGTTACTATTTTTCTCTATATTTTGCTTCATATCTGGTGATTTTTGCTTTTTGTTATGAGTTGTGATGTATGATACACGTAATAGCAAGTAAACTAGTGGGTGTAAAGAGTAGTGATATGTCTAGCACTATTGTCAGCTGACAGAAGTAAGGCGTTAGTACTGAAAGCACATCGTAGCTGAAATGTGTTAATCCTGTATATATGGTGAAGATAATTTAAGTTCCAGCTTCCTCCATCTTGGTGCTTATGTGGTCATATTACGATGCGGCGGTGCTAAGCTGTATCATCTGATCACGTTGTGCAGCGAGCAGGGAATGGAAACTTGAAGACGATGTCCATAACATCGAGTTTACTTTCTTCTTTCGCACAGTATTCGAGCAACCGACGCAGGCGTTTCCCAGCATGGTGGAGGATTCGGATGTGGAGGCTGAGGAAAACGATCTGTCGATACTTGATGCTCCCACGAAGCTGTGTATCGGCGGCGACAGTGAGACCGACCACTCGCTGCTATTTGCCGCTGAAACGCAGGTGCGTTAGATGGCTGCGGTGGCACTGCTGGGGACAGTCAGAGCTTTCTACTCATACGTCCTTTCTCTTTCAGTCTCTCCCCTCCTCTCTCTCTCCTCTCTCGCTCTCTCTCTCTCTCTCTCTCTCGCTCTCTCACTCTCTCTCTTTCTTGCTCTTTCTCTCTGCCTCTTGTCTCTGTCTCTGTCCCTCTCTGTCTCTCTGTCCCTCTTTGTCTCTCTCTTTCTCTCTCACTTTGTCTCTGTCTCTATATCTCTCTCTGCCTCTCTCTATCTCTCCGTCTCTCATCTTAAAGCAACGGGCTAAGTATGTGACATAATGTGACATGGCAGTCGCAGACGTATCTATTGCGTGTGTAAACGGTTGACATCGCGGTTGCGTTACTTGCAGCGGCCGTGCGCGGAGAGTGCGAACGACGACGACAACGCGCGAGTTGCCGATTCTGATGAAGCCAGCAACGAGGAAGCATCGCCGCAGCTTCCCACCGCGCTGCGTGCGGAGAGCCCTCGCGAGCAAGTCGGCAAGGAGGCATCACGTTTCCACGGCAACCGGCGCGAAGATCAGCAGAACAGTGAGAGGACCAGCGAAGGTAACGATGACGCGGAGAACGTGGCGCCCACAGATCACGGCGACGCCATTGTCCCTCATGCGGAGAATATCGGGACGCAGCTGGAGGAAGAAGGAGCTGAGAGTGGCGGAGGCGAGGGCACAGCGGAGAGAGGAGAGGTCGCGGAGAACGAAGGAGGGGTGGACGTGGACGTGACGCTCGTGCCGGGAGAGACGGATGCCAACACAGCTGCGGCTTCGACGGAGAGCGTGAGTCGTAAACAAGATCAGGAGGAATACAAGGATGGAAAGAGGAGCGCTGATGAAACGATCACCGCTGAGGGAAACGAAGGGAAGCCGATGGATTCAATGGGAGAGAAGGGACCAGGAAATGACGTTGCAGCTGTTGTGCAGATGCAAGCGGCTAGGGGAGAGAGAGGCGAGCGTGAAATTGTCGGCGCCCACGACGTGCAAACTAGCGAAAGCCGTGCTGACGGTGGTGACACCTGTAGGCAGCAGCCGCAAGCTGGTCTTGTTGCGACAAGTGGAGTGGTTACCTCTGCGGATATTAGTGTTGAGATGCAGCATGCTCCTGTAAGCTTCCCCGATACAACTGGACTCGAAGCTACTTGTGCAGAGAATGTTGGTGATGGGGATGCCATCCCTGAGGCAGATAACCCCGCCCATGATTTTGTTATAGCTGAGACTCAGGATTTTGGCAATGGAGTCCTTGTAGTTGAGACTCAGGATTTTGGCAATGGAGACCTTGTAGTTGAGACTCAGGATTTTGGCAATGGAGACCTTGTAGTTGAGACTCAGGATTTTGGCAATGGAGACCTTGTAGTTGAGACTCAGGATTTTGGCAATGGACACGTTGTAGTTGAGACTCAAGATTTTGGCAATGGAGACCTTGTAGTTGAGACTCAGATGTTCAAAGAAGATGCAGATAATATCACGAAAGCAAACGCCACCCAAGAGGGCAGCACTGTAGAAGCAACTGCAGAGGTAGAAGACAAGCAATCATCGATCGCCGAGACTGGTGCAACGAGTGCTGACGTTGTGACTGAGACTGGCGCTGCGACTGATAGCATCGTGGTTGAGAAGGGTGCTGCGACTGCTGGCACCGTGGTTGAGAAGGGCGCTGCGACTGCTGGCACCATGGTTGAGACAGGCGCTGCGACTGCTGGCACCGTGGTTGAGACAGACGCTGCGACTGCTGGCACCCTGGTTGAGACAGACGCTGCGACTGATAGCACCGTGGTTGAGACAGGCGCTGCGACCGCTGGCACCGTGGTTGAGACGGGCGCCTCGACCGCTGGCACCATGGTTGAGACGGGCGCCGCGACTGCTGACACTATGTGCGATGACAGCAGTGATGATGATGACGTCTCCATGCTTCCTCCTCTGGCGAACATCATCGGTAACAGGAGAGGTCCCGTGGAATCTGCCAGGCGGGATGATGTCAAACAGGAAGCGCCCAGAAGACAAAACGAGGAGAAACGGGAAGGGGAACTTCCAGCCGACCGGGAGGAGGAGGAGGAGCAGGAAGAGGAGGATGAGGGTCATGATCTAGCAACACAGGCTTACAGCACAGAAAATGATAGCGATGAGACAGACGAGGAAAGGGTGAGATTCCATCCATGGTCAATATCTGCAGTTTGCATGCAAAACTGCATGGAATCGTTTGTATAGCTGATTAGGCTCGAGCTTCTAAAATATTTTAAATATGTTATTAATATTTTGCAACTGAAAATAAAATAAAATAAAATAATTAATAATTATAAAACTAGTTAAATATGATGAAATATTAATACTATTTTTTATATATATGTTAATATTAAAAATATGAAATTATTGCTTACTGATAAATGAGCAAATGAGTTAGTTGAGTAAATGCATAAGGGGAAAATATCATGTTTCGGGTGTAGGTCGAGGGATATTTAGATAAGTGTGAGTGAACGAGGGTTTTCCTGATTGCTGACTACTGCACATGTTTTTCTATAGGTTGCAGATGATTCTAGCCTCCCTAAACGACAGGAGCTTGACGTGACTAAGGAGACTTTTGCTGTTCCTCGTGAGCCTGTCTCCATTGAGACACAGGCGTACGGTGCTGCTACCGGTGACACTGAGACACAAGCGTACGGGGCTGCCACCGGTGACACTGAGACACAAGCGTATGGTGCTGCCACCGGTGACACTGAGACACAAGCATACGGATTTGACACCGAGGTAGGTCCAAGTATAAACATTATCTTAGACAATTATTTGCAACTGCACGTGGATAATCACTAATAGTATAACAGGTTTACTAGTACTAGCTACAACAATTGTGTGGTGTGGACTAGTGAAATTTAGCAGTACTATCCCAGTTGTAACAGTGACATGCTTATTGTTTATCGGATTCCAGGTGGAAAGTACAGGTGGCATTATTCAGTGAGCAATAAGGAGGGTTTGTTATTCCAGGTTTATTCTAAGGTTCCCCCACAAATGGTAGACATGAAATTTTAAATTACAGAGAGATGCTTGAGAACAGTGGGATGCCGGTGTGAATACAGGGTTTGCATGAGTTTTTAAAAGTCTTGGAATTTTAAAATGCCATTTGTCAGATCTGGGAAATCCTGGAAAATAGGGTAGAAATTCTGTTTGGTCTTACAATATCTGTGAAAATTAACTTATGTTTATTTGGTCGTTGGTCTTGAGTAGAGAGACAAGAAATCTTTGCTTCATGCAAGTTTGTTCACTGATCATTGCTTGGATGATACTACTACTAGGCATGAAGATTGTATTTGGCTAAGAACATTTTTAGAAAATGAACCTTATAATTCCCGGAAACTGAAATAGGTTGAAAAAACTCGAAATGCTTTGCAATTAGGTGTACACACCCTGGAATAAATCGCTGCTCCCCACTTTTCTCGGACATTGCCGATTGACACTGGGACGTCCTAGATATCCTACAACTCGTTAACTTGACTTCCGGTGTCTTACAGGTGGTGGAGGACAGTTGTCATGACAAGAGCTCATCCGACGAGACGCTGGTGATGTTGGCTCTCCCGGGGCTTCACACAATCACCAGAATGCGCGCAGCGATCTGCCCACCAGGGGACGCCACCAGTCGCGTTGGCACTTTTGCCAGCAGGGAAGCCATCGCCGCTAACGACGGGCAGACGCGACAAAGCGATCGAGCGGGCGTGGGAGAGGAACTCCGCGATGACTCGGGGAAGAAGGGTGAGGGAAGGCTCCTCCGTCACGCAGCGGAGGAGGTTAGCCAGGAAGTGGCGGTGAGGAAGTCGACTCGAACGCGGCGTGAGACGGTGGCTGCGAAGGCATGGCGCGCATCGACCCCCAAGCCGGCCGGTCGAGGGCGGCGCGCCGCTGTGCCAAGCCTCACATCGGATGTCAGCAACATGGAAGAGCAGCCCAACGCTGGGGAGGAACTGAGTAGGGAAGTTGGCGTAGTGACGGAGACCAAGGACAACCGTGAGGTAGTGGTGCTGGAAAGGGCTGACCCAAAGATCGAGCAAAAGAAAGAAGAGCATGTGGAAGAACCTCAACAACAGACGGAAGTGAGTGACCAACCAGACAGGAGCTCACAGGGAGGAACCACCGACAAATGGGAAGAGGATGGCACACATATCGCGAGTACGAGGGGGAGGGAGGCAACAGAGAGCAAAGCAGGGGACGTCGCGGGGAAGGTCAGAGAAGGAGAGGCATCAGAGAGTCGGGAGCACATTCCTAAAAGGAAGACAAGGGGAAGGAAGGCTGCAGAGAGCCAAGAGGAGGAGGGTGAGAAAATTGATATTAGTTCATCAAGCAGCCAAGAGAGCTTATTACATACAGTGAAAGCAGTAAAGGCATTGCATAATCAGGATGAGACTCCAGCAAGGACAAGACAAGGGAGGAAAGTGTCAGAGACCAGAGACGAGGCCCCAGCACGGAGAACAAGAAGGAGCAGTGTTGCAGAGAATCAAGAAGTGGTTCCAGCACAGAGAACAAGATGGAGCAATGTTGCAGAGAGTCAAGAAGAGGTCCCAGCACGGAGAACAAGACGTAGCAATGTTGCAGAGAGTCAAGAAGAGGTCCCAGCGCGGATGAAAAGAGGAAGGAAGACTTCAGAGAGTCGGGAAGAGGTCCCAACAAAGAGGGTGAAAGGTGAAAAGGTTACAGAGAGACAGGAAGAAGTCCCTGCTAGGGACAGAAGAGGAAGAAAAGCTGTGGCGAATCAAGAGGAAGGGTTACCCATCACCGTGGAAGAATCGGAGACAGCACAGGGTGAGGAGCCGATCCCTGCTAAGAGGACCAGAGGACGTAAAGTTTCCGAAAGCAACGAGGAAAGTTCCCCATCAGTAACGGACATGGCAGGTATTCAGATGGAGGGGTCAACGAGGAGGAAGCGAGGGAGGAAGACTGCAGATAGTCAGCTGGAAGGCCCAACAAGAGCGACGCGAGGTAGGCAAGCTTCCGAGAGTCTGGACGAGGGTTCGCCTATTTGCGTGAAAGAAACGCATGAATTAGCTGCTCAGGAGGAATCACAAGTAAGAACGACGCGAGGAAGAGAGGCTCAGGAGGAATCGCAAGTAAGAACGATGCGAGGTAGCGAGGCTACGGTGAAAACCCCCGAGGTAGGGTCCCCGAAAAAGGCGACGTTCGAGCAGGCTTCCGATAGTGACGACAAACCTCGGCCAAGCAGAACGAGAGGTGGTGGTAAACATACGTCTGCGGCGGTGTCGCTGCGCGCGAGGAGAGGAAGACGGAATTCCGAGACGCCACGGGAGCACAACACGAGCGAGGCGCGCGAAGTAAACTCGCTGGCAGTCGAGACGAGCGAGGCGGAGAGTCAGGAGAGTGGGTCGGAGCGTGCGAGCAGAGGAAGGAGGACGCTAGAGAGCAGGGAGGCGATCACAGGCAGACCAACGAGCGAGGCGGAGAGTCAGGAGTCGTCACGTGCGAGCAGAGGAAGGAGGACGCTAGAGAGCAGGGAGGCGATTGCAGGCAGACCAACGAGCGAGGCTGAGAGTCAGGAGAGCGGGTCGTCACATGCGAGCAGAGGAAGGAGGACGCTAGAGAGCAGGGAGGTGATCGCAGGCAGACCAACGAGCGAGGCGGAGAGTCAGGAGTCGTCACGTGCGAGCAGAGGAAGTAGGACTCTAGAGACCAGGGAGGTCATCGCAGGCAGACCAACGAGCGAGGCGGAGAGTCAGGAGAGCGGGTCGGCGCGTGCGAGCAGAGGAAGGAGGACTCTAGAGAGCAGGGAGGCGATCGCAGGCAGACCAACGAGCGAGGCGGAGAGTCAGGAGAGCGGGTCGGAGCGTGCGAGCAGAGGAAGGAGGACTCTAGAGAGCAGGGAGGTCATCGCAGGCAGACCAACGAGCGGGGGAAGAAACGCGTCTGTTATTAAGGAGGAGGAGAGTCAGTCTAGCGAAGCCCGTTTGAGTGAAGCCACTGACAGCCAGGCTAGTGTGCTCTCACGCGTGACCAGAGGCAGGAAGACTACCGCTAGCCAACCAGACGTCCCATTCGGCAAACCGAGGGGAAGAAAAGCAGCCAGCACCCTGAAGGCAGTTCAGCTAGGACGTATCCAGGCGGAGGCGTCCGGAGCAATCGAAGCGAGCGTCGCACAGGCGGGTGCGTCCCACGGGGACTTGGAGCAGCCCGAGGGTAGGGGGCGCAAGCGTACCATAGCCGCGCGAGTCGACGACGCAGCAACGGCTGGCGGCGCTAAGCGACAACGGCGGCTCACCGACGCCACGCAGCATCCTGCGCAGGAGGAGGTTGAGGGGAAGCCGGGCCGGGAGACCGATCCCGGTACGACCACGGAAACCCTCAGCTCTTCTAGGAGGAATCGTTCGCCTGCGAGGCGAGGCCGTGCTGCCGCTCCCAGCCGGGCGGACGAGAGCACCATGTTGCGCGAGGGCGCCATTCCCGCGCCATCGGGAGGAGCAGCCACGACTCGCCGAGCGTCGGGGAAAGCCGAGAACCCTGCTGAGCTCGAGGATGCAGGCAGCTCCTCGCAGGAATCCAGGAAGAGAGGAAAACCAACGAAGAGTCAGGTAAAGAACTTACGTTGAGTAACGGGTTAGATGTTCACGCACTAGCAACGTTAACTGACCTATCCATCTCGATTCACATGAGTAACCACGCTCTCCCTTGATATTATTACTAAGTTGGTCAAACCAAACCGGTTTGCAGTTTCTCAACCATGCGCCCAATATTGTCGCCTTTGTGGTACTTTATTGCCAAGCATTGTCTATTAGCACCTCCAATCCCATCAAAGATCGGTTAGAGTTACCTGCTCATGCCCGGTGGATAGGTCAGTAGGTTAAAGTGTTAGAGCATAAGTTGTCATGTAAATTTTGGTTTCACCTGTGCACTACTTAGGCTGATTTTGAGTGACTGGTTTTGAAGTATGTAATGGGATGAAAATCGACAATAGGTATAAAATAATAGGCAGTAGTAGAAACGGCGCCTCTCATGTTAGGATGGTTTGTGATTGGCTTGTAGTTGATGCCTCAGTCAACAGCTGTGTGTGGCAGCCTGTATGTGTATCTCATTCATTTATAGTTTGAATCTGAGCAGCTGCAGCAGCAAGACAGTGCAAGCAGAGTGGAAGAAGAAGGAGAACGAGAGACAGAGCAGAGCAGTCATGGCAGTACAACTGCTGGACAGGTGATGCATGGCGCGAAATATCCGAACATTCTTGTGGAAGTGCAATCAGGGGTGAATAATAACAAATTGTCATTGACATTGGTTGTATCAATAAAGACCAGTGATGCTTCAGATGGTTTCTATTCACCATGCTCTTACTTCTTCTCTACATCTACCCACTCTCCCTCACTTTCTCTATCTCTCTCTCTCTCTCTATTTTGCTCTCTCTTTTATGTAACTTCATTAAAGACTAGGTCTCGAATCAACTGGGAATCACTTAGAATCAATGCAGATGATAGGTCTCTCTCGTTAGTTGGAACCTTGTAAACACCGCTCAATTAATGTATTCCCGCGTCAATGACTTTCGTTAAGGTTACATTTTATTAACATGTTGACACAGGAGGTGAAGCGCAGCTCTCGGCGGTCAACTCGTGCGGATAGACTGTCACTAGACAGCCCATCTGCTAGGCGGGGCAATGCGTCGTCGCCATCGCTGCGCCGGTCTACGCTGCATCAGGAGAAGCCCCGAGTGCTGTTCACCGGAATCGTCGTTGCGAGACTTGAGAAGGTCAGTGAAGGTCGCGATGGAAGCAGAAGAGTTTGCAGCCAGTCATTGTTAGATCAGTTTGCACACAGGTCGCAGGGGGAGGGGGGCAATGAATGACTTGCCTCGTATGTACACGCATGCACCTACGCAAGCACTCGTGCGCGCACACACACACACACATACACACACACACACACACACACACACACACACACACACACACACACACACACACACACATACACATACACACACACACAGTCCAGTCTCGGTCGTGATGTGTGTACACGAACTGACTCTCTCTGTGTTACTGCCAGGTTGTGAAGCATCTAGGAGGGGAGGTTGTTGATACCATCAATGACTGCACACACCTCGTCACCGACAAAGTGAGACGCACATCAAAGTTCCTCTGCCAAGCTGCCAGAGGGCGTCCGATCGTGAACCGCAAGTGGTTAGAGAACAGCAACAGTGCTGGCATGTTTCTTGGTGAGTGTAGGTACCTTCACTGCGGGACCCCAGTTATATCTGCGAATCATTCCTCATTTCAGCCGACTAAAAAAATAATTGGATAGCGTGGTTGGTTGTTAGTTTAGTTATAAAGCTGTACTTTCTGGGAATTTGGGCAATAACTGAAGATATTCTGTATATGGTTTACGCGTTTGTATGCATGTGTTCTTACTTCCGCTCAGACCACACCCCTCACCTTGTGAAGGATTCCCAGGCAGAGAAGAAGTTCAAGTTTAACTTGGCTAGAACGCTCTCAGCGGCAGCAGACAGGGGCCTGTTTACTGGCTATAACATTCACGTGACCCCTGGTGTCGTACCGACGCCCGACCAAATGGGCGAGATTATAGAGTGTGCCGGTGGCATATACCTACATGGTAAGACCGGCTTTACTGAAAAAGCTTGTAAATCTATTATTATATTTATTATGTTCCTGATCTGTATACTCATTGTGTAGTTGTTCATAGGTCTGTATACTCATTGTGTAGTTGTTCATATCATATCTGTATACTCATTGTGTAGTTGTTCATATCATATTGTATAGCTCCATTGTGTATTGTTCTATCATTCTGTATACTGCATTGTGTGTTGTTCATATCATCTCTGTGATATCTCATTCGTGTGTTGTTCATTATCATATCCTGTATTACTCATTGTGTTAGTTGTTCATGATGCATATCTGTATACTCATTGTGTATGTCATATCTACGTATATCATTGTATTTAATATCATATGTGTATATCATATGTGTAGTTGTTCATATATATTGTATATCATTGTGTAGTTGTTAATATCATATCTGTATACCATTGTGTAGTTTGTTGCATATCATATCTAGTATACTCATTGTGTAGTTGTTAAATCATTCTGTATATCTCATTGTGTAAGTTTTATATCATATCGTATACTATTGTGTAGTTGTTCATGCATCATATGTGTATACTCATTGTGTAGTTGTTCATATCGCATATCTGTATACTCATTGTGTAGTTGTTAATATCATAAATATTATACTCCATTGTGTAGTTGTTTCATATCATATTGTATTACTCATTGTGTAGTTGTTCATATCATATCTGTATATCATTGGTGGTGCCTTGTTCATCTCATATCTGTATAATCATTGTTAGTTGTTATCATCAGTCTGATACTCATTGTGTAGTTGTTAACTCGTAATCTTGTTAGTTTTCATCATTTCGTATACTCATTGTGTAAGTTGTTAATAATCTTGTATACTGCATTGTGTAGTTGTTCTCAATACTATTGTATACTCTTTGTGAGTTGTTCCATAGGTCTGTTAACTCATTGTGTAGTTGTTATATGAGGTTGTATACTCATTGTGTAGTTTGTTGCATATCAGTATCTGTATACTCATATGTGTAGTTGTTCATATCATTTTGTATACTCAATTGGTAGTTGTTCATATCTTATCTGTAATACTCATTGTGTAGTTGTCATATCTAATATCTGTATACCATTGTGTATTTATGCTTCAGATCATTATCATGTATACTCTATTGTGTAGTTGTTCATAGGTCATTGTATACTCATTGTTGTAGTTTGTTCGATCATCTAATCTCGTATACTGCATTGTGTGTTGTTCATATATATCTGTATCTGCATCTGTGTTAGTTGTTCATATCATATCTATTATACTCATTGTGTTAGTTGTTATATCATATCTGGTATACTCATTGGTGTAGGTTGTTCATGATCATATCTGTTAGCTCATTGTGTAGTGTGTTGCATATCATATCTTGTATACTCATTGTGGTAGTTGTTCATATCATATCTGTATTACTCATTGTGGTAGTCTTGTTCATATATAATGCTGTATACTCATTGTGTAGTTTGTTCGATAATCATATCTGTATACTCATATGTGTAGTTTGTTCATATCATATCTGTATATGGCATTGTGTAGTTGTTCATATCATATCTGTATACTCAATTGTGTAGTTGTTCCAGAATATATCGTATAACTCATGTGTGTAGTTGTTCATATCATATCTGTATATCATTGTGTAGTTGTTCATATCATATCTGTATACTGCATTGTGAGTTGTTAATGATCATATCTGTATACTGCATTGGTAGTTGTTCATAATAATATTCTGTATACTCATTGATAGTGTGTTCATATATAATCATGGTATACTCATTGTGGTAGATTGTTCATATCACTATCTTGTATACTCATTGTGTAGTTGTTCATATCATATATGTTATACTCATTGTGTAGTTGTTCATATATGATGCTGTATACTCCATTGGTGTAGTTGTTACATTAGGATCTGTAATACTCATTGTGTAGTTGTTCATGATCATATGCTGTATTACCTATTGTGTAGTGATTCATATCATATTGTATACTCAATTGTGTAGTTTGCTTCATATCATATCTGTATATCTCATTGTGTAGTTGTTCATATCATTATCTGTATACTCATTGTGTAGTTGTCATGATCATAATCTGTATACTCTTGTGTTAGTTGTTCATATCATATCTGTAATACTCATTGTGTAGTTTGTTCATATCATATTGTATATCATTGTGTAGTTGTTTATTCATATCTGTATACTCATTGTGTAGTTGTTCATATCATATCTGTATACTCATTGTGTAGTTGTTCATATCATATCTGTATACTCATTGTGTAGTTGTTCATATCATATCTGTATACTCATTGTGTAGTTGTTCATATCATATCTGTATACTCATTGTGTAGTTGTTCATATCATATCTGTATACTCATTGTGTAGTTGTTCATAGGTCTGTATACTCATTGTGTAGTTTGTTATATAATCATATCTGTATACTCATTGTGTAGTTGTTCATATGATAGCTGTATACTCATTGTGTAGTTGTTCAATATCATATGCTGTATATACTCATTGTGTAGTTGTCATATATCATATCTGTATAGCTGCATTTGTGTAGTTTGTTGCATATATCTGTATACTCATTGTGTAGTTTTTCATATCATTATCTGTAATACTCATTGTGTAGTTGTTCGATTCATCATATGTATACTGCATTGTGTAGCAGTTGTTCATATCATAATCTGATATCTCATTGTGTATAGTTGTTCATAGGATCATTGTATACCTCATTGTGTAGGTTGTTCATGATCCATATCTGTCATACTCATGTGTGTAGTTGTTGCATATATTCCTGATTCCGATTTGTTGCAATCAATGTATACTATTGTGTAGTTGTTCATATTGTCTGTATACTGAATTGTGTCGTTTGTCATATGCATCATATCCGTATGCTCATTGTGTAGTTGTTTCATTCTATTGTTAACTCATTGTGTAGTTGTTCATATCATATCTGTGTAGCTCTTGTGTAGTTGGTTCATAATCAATCTGTATTACTCATTTGTGTAGTTGTTCATGATCATTGATGCTGTATAGCTCCTTGTGTAGTTGTTCATAGGTCTGTATACTCATTGTGTAGTTGTTCATACTGCATATCTGTATACTATTGTGTTAGTTGTTCACAATTCATATGTGTTATATCATTTTGTAGTTGTTCATAGGTCTGTATACTCAATTGTGTAGTTGTTCATCATCATCTTGTATACTCATTGTGTAGGATTGTTCATATCATACTGTATACTCAATGTGTAGTTGTTCATTCATATCTGTATACTCATTGTGTAGTTGTTATATCATATCTGTATACTCTTGTGTAAGTTTGTTCATATCAAATATTGTATACTCATTGTGAGTTGTTTCTCAGGTCTGTATATGCATTGTGTGTTGTTCATAATATATGTATACTCACGCTGTGTACTTGTTCATATCATATCTATATACTCAGTTGTGTAGGTTGTAATATGCAATATTGTATACTTCATTGTGTAGTTGTTCATATCATATCTGTATACTCATTGTGTAGGTTGTTCATATCATATCTTGATCTCATTGTGTAGTTGTTCATATCATATATGTATACTCATTGTGTAGTTGTTCGTATATATTGTATACCCTCATTGTGTAGATTGTTCATAGGTCTGTATACTTCACTTGTGTAGTTGTTCATATATCATTTGTAAACTCTTGTGTAGTTTGTTCATGATCTATCTGCATATACTCATTGTGTAGTTGTTCATAATCATATCTGTAACTCATTGTGTGTTGTTGCATATCATATCTGTTATACCATTGTGTCGTTGTTCGTAATCATATTGTATTACTGCATTGTGTCGATTGTTCATGAGGCTGTATACTATTGTGTATTGTTCATTATCAGTATCTGTAATACATCATTGTGTAGGTTGTTTCATATTATATCTGTATACTCATTGTGTAGTTGTTACGTATATATGCTGTTCTCATTTGGGTGGTTGTTCATAGGTCTGATACTATTGTGTAGTTGTTCATATATATCTTGTATACTCAATTGTGGTATGTTGTTATATCATATCTGTTATACTCATATGTGTAGTTGTCATATACATAATCTGGCTTACTCATTGTGTAGTTGTTCATATCATTATCTGTATACTCATTGGTGTATGTTCATTCATGATCTGTATACTTCATTGTGTAGTTGGTTCATATGGTCTGTATACTCATTGTGGTAGTTGTTCAATATACTCTGTATACTGCATTGTGGTAGTTGTCATATCGAATATCTGTATACTCCATTGTGCTAGTTGTTCAATCATATTGATCTCATTGTGGTAGTTGTTCATATCATATCGCTGTATACTCATTGTGTAGGTTTGTTCATGATATATCTTGTATACTCATTGTGGGTAGTTTGTTTTGCATGATCATATCTGTATATCATATGTGTAGTTGTTATATATATCTGTGTACTCATTTGTTGTAGTTGTTATATCATTATCTGTATACCTCATTGTGTAGTTGTTTATATATTGTAATACTCATTGTGTAGTTGTTCATGAGGTCCTGTATCAGGCCTAAAAATTACTTTTTTTTTTAGCGAGAGCTCTTTTTTGATTTTGTAATGAAAGAAAGAAGCTCTCGTAATTTTTTTACTGGGGAGCTATTTAGCTTGGCCAGAGCTACTTTTTCGATAGGCATGATTTTGTTAAAATTATTTTTATAATTTTGATGCACTGCTCTAATATCATTCATGCGCTTCAGGCGTACGGATCAGCACCAGTATCAGACATAGTGGTTTTAAGATCGGCAACCATTACATTTCGTAGATTTTTTTTTTATCTCAGTTCATCTCGAGCTAAGAAACCAATGCACATTCTTATTCAATTTCATTCACACAGACGACATCACTAACAGTACACATAGTCAGGTAACATGACAAAAGAACAGGAAATCAGATTATACTCATGGTAATGATGGTATGGTTTATTTTCAAGTTTTTTTTTTACTTCATTTCTTTTCATTTTAACTTCTTTTGTTACATCGACTAGAGCAAGTTCAGAACTTACAGAGTCGAGTTCTTAGTTACTTTGAGTATTGTTAAAAGACTTGTACTGGCTCTCTAGGAATGGCGGGAGTTTCTGGGAAGGTTTAATTTCGTATTTTCTCTCCCCGTCGCACGGTATCCCGACGCATTAGTCAATGCTGCCTGACAACCGCAAAGTTACAAGTGCCTAGAATCTTTTAAGTATATAGAGTTTGCTTGCTATCTAGATATCTAACTGAGATAAAATAGTTACTTTCTACCAATCAGTGACGGAATTCAGTAACAGTTCTTTGGTTACGCGCGTGTCTGGTGTCACTGGTCGTGCCCCACTCCCAGATATTTAACGCCCTGGCGATATAAAAACTATGTTAATGCCCGCAAAAACTTGTGGGCTGGGCTCCGGGTCGGAATAATTTCTAACTGCTGCCGGCGGCAGCGGGAGCGATTTTTTCTGGGTATCTTCCAAGAATTTTCGCTCTCGTAATTGTTGTTAGCAGAGCCGCTTTGAAAGCTGACGGGAGGAAACTGCTTGCCGTCCGTGGTATTTTTTTTGCTGGTCGTACTCATGTGTGTAGTTGTTCATTGATCATATCTGTATACTATTGTGTAGTTTGTTTCATATCATATCTTGTATGCTGAATTGTGTAGTTGTTCATATTCATTCTGTATACTCATTGTGTAGTTGTTCATAGGTCTTATACTCATGTGTAGTTGTTCATATCATTCTGTATACTCATTGTGTAGTTGTTCATATCATATCTGTATACTCATTGTGTAGTTGTTCATATCATATCTGTATACTCATTGTGTAGTTGTTCATATCATATCTGTATACTCATTGTGTAGTTGTTCATATCAGTGTGTTAGTTAGTAGCTGCATGTAATGATCTGTTTCAGATATGCCCAGGACTGGCCATGAGAAGACTCTGGTAGTATCCTGTGAGGATGACAGAGGGCACTGCGAGACTGCACTAAATAACGACATTCCCGTTGTTGGAGCAGAGTTCATCTTATCGGGAATTCTCCAGTATGAAGTCGACATCACGAGATATCCTTTTACGCTGCCAAACTAACCATGACCGTGACTATGTCTGAGATTGTGACTATGAGTATGACATAGTCACAATCTCAGACATAGTCATGGTATGTTTCAGGTTGTGACTGTGTCGGACATTGTGACCGTGTCTGAGATTGTGACTGTGTTTGAGATTGTGACTGTGTCCTTCATTGTGACTGTGTCTGAGATTGTGACTCTATCCTTCATTGTGACTGTGTCTGAGATTGTGACTGTATGCTGGATCCTGACTGTGCCCGAGATTGAGTGTGTGACACCACGACTGCTTGAGACTGTGACCATGTTATAAATAATCAGTGCTATGATATTTTCTGAAATGTGCACATTATGTTTCCATGTGTATTGGGAAGTTCTACCATATGTTTGAACTGCAGCATTCTATACAAGTAGGTATGTAAAATTTATGTAAAATTAAAATTTACATGGTATGGTCAGACATGAACAGCTATGCACCTTAACAGCAGTGCACCTTTTCGTTGTTCAATGAAGCATCTACCAGAGAGAAACTCCCCAGAGGCAGGGTTTCCCAGGCTCGTAGCAAGAGCAGAAAGTAAGGTCGCTGTGGAGGCCACAAGGTCATGGAGGTCAACTGGCAGTTTTTATTCTGTAGAATGCTGACATGAAACCTTCGGTGTGCATGAACTTATTTTATGTAAGAGTATATTTTAGGGTCTTTTCGATAAACCAGTGTTGATGGGTTCATTGGATGCTGCACAAGGCCGCCAGCCAAGATGCTGTTGGAGCCGAAGATCACGTGTGATTTTCATCTCTCCTTGAGTTAGGTGCACGTCTACAGGGTATCTGCACTAGATGAGAGGATGGCTTCCCGGTGTTGACATCGGAAATTTACCTGTCTTGCCATTTCATTTATGAAAATGACATTTTTTATGACATATACACTTGTTTGTTTACTTATATATAGCTTAGTCAAGTGCTATGTTTAATTACATTTAGTAAGCGTACAGCACTTGGCAAGCGTGAGCATTATGTTACCGACATCTCTCTGTCCAACGTCATAATCTAACAAATTAGTCACAATGCACTGTTCGGCGGCAGGCCAGTGTTAGTGATAGAGAGTCAGCTGAGGTAGCTTACTCCGCACTCTTTCCTTATAGTTAACAAGCAACAGCAGTTGTGGTAAGCTGCAGAAGCAGGTGGACTAAATAGAATAAAAGCCATGCATTATTCATAATCACGTATATTCCTTTATTCGTAGACCTTCAATTGTTTAGTGTCAGTGAAATCGTGTCAAATATCAGAACGCTGTCATAAGTATTCATAGTGTAGATTATAATTTTATACTAAGAGAGGACTTTATTTTCCTTACGTTAGCTTGAATTGGAAACCATTAATGGCACATAATGTGTATAGTTGAATGTTTAGTAACGAAGAATGTAACAAGTCTTTTAGAAAGGATATTGTTTTCCTGTCAATTCTCTGTACAAATGTACATCTGTATAGGAATGCATCATGCTGCTTTAGTTTTGCATAATCGGGTAACGTCAATAAAAATATTGATTGATACCCATTACGTGTATATTCCAAGAAAATGGAAGTAAAATTAGATGAAATAAATTTTTCAGAAGACGTCTTCTTTCATAATCTTTATTATCGCTTTGTTTACATGAAAGCTGCTGATTTTCTTTGCAGCACATGTTCACACTACATCAGGTAAATGTACCTGCCGTGTCAAGTTCACATCATCGCACACCTTATGCAAATATTAAACCTATTGGTTCGTGTTTGCATGAGGTCTCCATTGTTTCCTTCTCATTGCTACAAAAGTACAGCTCGCAAAACTTACTCATCAACTGGTATATAGACAATTTGTGCTTTCCCAATAACTACAATGCATACTTGCAGTGCAAACCCCACTGCAGGTTAACTTGCCTACCAAACAATAAGCAGGGTTTCAGCAATGACTGTATGTTTCTTTGAGAAAATGCAAGTTTTCAACACTGCATAACGTCACAGCATCCATTGAATTGACGCATGCAATACCGACAGTTCTACTGCCAACGTTTGATGTTGGAACACAACACATGGTAAATCCCAAAATAAGTTACACAGATGGACAACACAAGCCATCTGTGACCACCCGCTGTGTGTCAGTTTCCATTGCTATGTCTTGTGGTAAAAGAACTGTCTACCTGCACCCATGTGGCTACTAAGACATGGGGCTTGCTACTGAAGTTGTCGTAGGGTAGTCGTGAATCCCAGTCTTGTCTATGACCCGTATGTGGAATGTCGGCAGACTCACAAGAAATCTGTGCTGGATCTACAGGAATGACCAAAAAGAAATTCACCTTCAAGCTAATTTTACCCCTACAAGCATTCATATGACTACGAGTCATGTTTTCTACAAGTACCACCTGGTGGCACCTCGCATCACATCCAATATGTTGTAACAGTTGCAAGACAAATGAAATGATACATGCACGCATTTATCTATAGTAAAAGTTTTGTCATATCTTCCAGTGTTTCCCCTGCATCGACACAAGCGAGGCGGGCCGCCTCGCTCAAATTCTCAGCCGCCACACAGAAATTTGTCCAACACCGCCTCACTGTTCTTCCATCACCAAACTACACTGTATTGAACTAAAATGCAATAGCCTTATAGAATGTGTTCAGAACAGCTTAGAATGCACCAAATTGCACCTTTTTTTCACAAATTTTACAACCAGTTAACAACCTGTGGTGCTCACTTTGCTAGGACCTCTACACGCACATACACCCCCCCTCGAAAAAAATTACCACCTCAGACGTTTTTGGCCAGGGGAAACAGTGTCTTCTACATTGCAGCTACTATTACATGCACACAGCCAGTAAAAACTCACCTCATCTATACATTTGTTGACCAGTATCAGAGCTTCTTCTTTTGACATATCTGAAACAAGACATGGTAATAATTCATGCATATGCTACATAAATTCATAGAACCACTATTCAGATGCATGCCATAATAATTACACTCGGTGATGGATTACAGCTAAAACTTTCTTGCTCACGTGAACCTCAAAAATCTCCGTTGATCCGTATTTCCACATTCCCGCTTCCATGTCAACTCCCTGTGCAATCTACTTACCAGGTTTGTAGTATCTGTCCATGATGCTGAGGGAGAAGAATGAGCCATAACCGTGTATGCCATACGGCACTTTCTGCATAGATGCCAAGTAGTCGAGTATGTACAGGGATGCGCCTTGCTCCTCGTCATAGCCAGCTAGCAGCAGGTTAACCATGTAGGCATTCTGAAAGCACAAATTCGTGAATGTTTGGAAGTCACCTTATTTCCTTTAAATCCTGTCTGTATTATTTCTATTACACGTGATACTTGAATATAATATGTGTGTGTACGCGTGTACGTGTGTGTTATGATACCATTCCAGATTCTGTTTGTATATGTTATTACTTATTACTATTAGTCTATCTACAAGCACTATCAAGTCTTACCCTGCTACGCAACGAGTCTGCCATTGTTTTCCGTGTGAAGTTAGCAGCAGCAATTGGACTCAAATCATATCCTGAAATTAACAAGGACCAACACCACATTATTTCATGGACAATAATGATCTAGTTTTACAAAAGATAAATTATAATGAAGTCAAAATCAATGCTACAATGTTATGGTTTTTTTATGGTGCTGAACTTTATTAGTCATTAATCATTACACTGTTTACACACAATTATGCACAGTTGATATCTACGGTTCATTCTCACCGCAAACACCAACCATGCTACTGAGTACTGTGGCAACGCACCATTTCGCATCTTGTACAGCTGTATGTTGCGTGCAATGTATTCTGCAAACTCCACTGTATCACCGGATTCTCCTGTGACCATCAGTGCCATTTTTGGACCGATCTTAAATAACTTGTCATGATCTGTAAACAAGTGTAATATTATATTAATTATTATTAATATTAATAATAAGTCATGTCACATGTGAACAAAATCGAAATGTGAAATTTAGTGATTCACCGTAGGCGTAGAATGTCCACGAATCTCGATGTAAAAACGTCTTTGCAGTTTGCACTGATCGAATTAGGATGCAAGCTGGTAAGCACTCATATAGAACAAACACATTTGTAAAACGCATACTCAGTCAGTTGAACTTTATACATACTATAAGTATTACTATTACTATTAGTATTAGTACTATTACTAACATAGTAAAGCTAGGGCCCTACTCGCCGAAAGCTGAAAACTCACCTCTCTTCATGACCACAATACTTCGTGCCGATGTTGTATCGGATGCACAAAGAACAAAGTCTTTACCACAGATACCGATTACACATTCCATTTGTGCTATATATTGTTATTCTAGCGCATATAAAACTATTTCGTCTGACTGATATCTACGAAGACTTGTATAGTGAATTATTTATTTGTAAACCTAGTGCGAAATGCGAATCTATGAATCAGCAAGTTTTGTCATGCATCTCTCTGGACCGCAGGAAACGTAGCGGCGTGAATACAATTTGTTAAAATAAAATTTAAAATATGACTTTACACTAACAAGAACAAATATATGTGCAATAAAACGCGTAAATATAAACTTAATTTGAGATTTTATTTCATATGTCTAGGAGAAGCGAATATGTAGAAAATAGGCAAGTTAAAATGTGGTCACGTGACCAGTTTGAACTCGGGCTTGACTGTCTATGAAGGAATATTGAACATTCAAGGCATTCCATTTGTTTCTGACAGGTTTGTGCAATTCAATCATAAGTAGCAGAAAGTATAAACTTGTTTAAAAATTGAAATTACGATTAGAAACAAATTTCCTGTTTCTGTGAACGTAGTTTAAAGTAAATGGCTGCGTACTCTACCTTGGTTGAGTAAATCTAGGGAGGTCGCGATAGTCACAGTGTATAGTGCGTGTGGGACGCCGTGTACAACTAAACCTAGGGCCTAATGTGTGAGTCATGTCTGGTGATTAATACTCAACCTAGATTATAAAATATTAGCCACATCAGTTGAGCATGTACGTGTTGTGCCATTGTTATGCGATATTCTATTAGTATTACACACCCAGTATCAGTATCGCGCACACGGCACAGCTCCTCATTTCACATTTGTATAATTAATTACAGCCGTAGCAGTTCATTAATTGCACGTAGCTAAGTTACCCATTGTAGCCTACGCCTACTACCGATGTTATAGGAATGAGTACAGTACAGTAAAATATCGTATAACCATGTCCGTGGTAATGATCCCACCAGAAACCATCATATATATTCCTAATTAATGCAATTACTGAATTAGCACTATAAATATAATAAAGTACAGTAATTACTTGCTCAAGAGATGATCTGTTACAAAACCGCTAGAGCCAGAGAAAATTGTAATTTTTCATATTAACATTTCACTTTTCATATTAATAAATAATAATTTCAAGAACATTTTGGTTCATAAATGCCAATATTCAATTCATACACAGGTCAGTGTTTCCCCTGCATTGACACAAGCGAGGTGGGCTGCCCTGCTCAAATTCTCAGCCGCCACACAGAAATTTGTCCAAAATACTGCCCTGCTGACGAAAATCTGTGTTCTTCCATCAATAAACTACAACATAGCTTAGAATGAACCAAATTGCACCATTTTTTCAAAAACTTGAAAATCTTGCTGTGCTTGCTTTGCTAGGACCTCGAAACGCGCACACCAACAAAAATTTTGGCCAGGGGAAACACTGCAGTTAATTCATTAACATTAGTGATAACAGAGATTGAATTTGACGACGGCAACTGACGGCATTTGCCGCCGGAACATATTGATTTGCCGTCAGAGGTAGTCTGTATCGGCGGCAAGTAAATGCCGTTGTACACAAAATATACACACAAGTACAAACAGTCGCCCTATCCCTATCCTTAACCCTAACCCTAACCCTAACACTAACTCAAAACCGACTCGGCTATCTAATATACGCGTGTCAGAGTACCAATCTATGGTGTATAACCTTTCGTAGTGATGCGCAACAATGCTTGGGCGAATAGCACCACCGAACTATAGTATCCACGTATATATATATCGTGGATATTCGTCCGAGCATCGGATACTTATATACACAAAATATACACACAAGTACAAACAGTCACCCTATCCCACGGAATAGTAATAATCACTACGGTTCAGTGTGATTTTACGACTAGTATTTTGTATATATTCTTCATGTTTTCAATGTTTGTCGATTACTAAGTCACTGTGCAATTTAAATCAGAAACCTGTGTATGCTGCTGAGCAGTGGAAAAAATACACGGGGCTTTGGGCGATTTGGCCCCCGAAATGCCAAAAAGAGCCCCCGTAAATTTGCATAGAGTTCAATGCAAACCAAATTTTAGAGTGCTATTTTCATCCACGCAAGCTTGAAAAGTAGCCCCCGAAAAATAAATTATATTTTTTTCCCTGCTGCTGAGTCAGTCCCCACTACTGTGCAATTTAAATCAATATTTCTATGACAGATAGTCTTCAATTGTTACATTAAATAACCTATACCCTAACCCTAACAATGTGTCTCACTGCTGCTCTGTGTCTGGACTTTTTGTATTTTATTACATGTAATTTGTAAATATTTTAAGTTGACAAAAACTTTAATATTAATTGTACCATCTTGGTTTTATTCATATTTGATACCAATAATAAAGAAATAATTGTATATATGTTAATCAATATTATTATCTTTTAGCCGTATAACTTATAATCAACGCGTTCGGTTTTCTAGACTTGCTGTCAGAGTGTTGCTACTTGCTGTCAGAGGGCACAGCCTCTGACAACAAGTAGGAGCCTTACTTGCTGTCAGAGGCAAATTGCCAAATTCGATGCCTGTGATAAGGATGTTCGGCTGCTGTGAACCGCTGCCACTCATAGTATCAACATACAGTGTAAAAGAGTCAAGTGTACAAATTACTTAAATATTAAAATTATTGAAATAATCAAATAACCAACTAGGATCACATTCTTAACTGTTTTCTGCAAACTCAACTTGAACCTATAGGCTTATAGTTAAAACATAGTAAATACACATAAAGTACCTTATTGTGATGTATCAGGACACTTACTTACAAGTGTCACTAGTTTTACAATTTAAGCATTATTAGAACATTTTCTGAATAACCTAATAGTTGTTGCACTAATACTTGCACAACATGCAGTTTTCACCCTTGAAAGAGTGAAATTGATTGTTTCACTTATAAGTATATTATATACATTATTATATAGTTTATATAAATATATCTAAATTGTCGATTCTGATAGAACCGAATTACATTTGTGGTTATACTGTATCGACAGTGTTGTTAGCAACAAGATGCATACATGTGTATGGGGTGAAGTAGCAAGCCAATCGGCTCATTAATTAATAGTGATATATAGCCGCATAACGGGCAAGTAAACCTCACATCCAAGCATGATCGTTTATCGAAATTATGTAGCCGTTTTGGCTTGACATTAGTTCAGTGGCTGCATGTGTATGTCACGTGGTTGCCACATTTTTATTATTACAGGATTACTTTAACTTCTACACATTTTGGTAAAATCTATGTCTAAACACTATATATATATACAGTTCACACAAATTCTCACTGGTCACACCATTGATTTTTGTCTTAGTTTAAATGGAAATTGCTGGGGCTGGGCAGGATCTTTCCTATTCCCTTGCTCATTTATAATTATAGTCCCTTGTTCGATCGCATGAGTGTGTTTGCAACCTGTCCAAACAGCACGAAAAAATTGCTAGTGTTTATTTTATTGGGTGAGTGGATGCCTGTGCTGAAATTTTTAACCATGTTTGGAGGTCGCCTAGCTATGACTCTAGGTGTTGGGACGTGCGTGATATATAGTCCTGTCATGTCAGTTTCTTCTGAATATGCAGTGTAGACTTACGATTAACATTGACAGTAAGTCTGCAATAGCAAAGTTTGTTTGCTGAGCTGTTGTGTTTCCATGCCAGTAGCGTCTCCTGTATCTAAATTAGCCTTACAAGCAAATTTATGCTTGATTATTTATTAATCATTTACCTTCAGGAGCTCGTATGCAGGTTCATTCTGCAAGATCTTGGAACATACCTAAGCTGTGTAAGCTACCTAACAGTGGCATACTGGCTAATTATGTGACTATATCAGACTTAAAAGTTATATAATAGCCAAATGGATTACATTATATTTTTTTTCTAGTAGTCGATGTAGCATGTTTGATATGAAGGCACTTGTGTCAGCTTCTTCGGCACTCGCTTGTTCAACCTGGCCACATCGCTCATGATTTTATCTAGGGGGAGCACTGTGACTGTGTAACGTGTGTGTATGCAGCCTAGCAGCATACCTGTAACGTGGGTGTGCTTGTGTGTGGGGCAGCCTAGCAGCATACCTGTAACGTGTGTGGGGCAGCCTAGCAGCATACCTGTAACGTGTGTGGGGCAGCCTAGCAGCATACCTGTAACGTGTGTAACTTGCTCGTGTGTGGGCAGCCTAGCAGCATACCTGTAACGTGTGTAACTTGCTCGTGTGTGGGCAGCACAGCAGCATGGCGGTCAACGTGTACAGCACTAGCACCATGGTGCAGACCAACCTCAGTCGCCAACAGATGCTCGTGTGGATCAACTCCACCCTCTGCCTACGACACAAGAAGGTCGAGGAGCTTTCATCAGGTCAGACTCGGCTTGCCATCGGGCTGCACTGCCGGAAGACCGCTCGTCAGTTCTCCCTTGGATGGCTTCTTGCTCGCAGTAAACCGATTGACCGCCCCACCGATCGCCCGCCACGTTGAGGCATCCAGGGGGTTGTGAATGCTGCACTTGCAGCGTTTGCAATCACACGAATGTGGTGGAAATTCTCGGTAAACGTTCTGCAGCCCCCTCCCCCCCCCCATCACCACAGCTGAAATGCTGGCTCGGGTGACTGCGAACGAGAAATCATTTAAGGCTGGCATGACCACTAGGTGTACCGGTCCCCGTGTGCATTGGCAGGTGCAGACGACTTTGACCCTTGACCCACCGTCAGCGTCCACCGTACGAGTTCTCGGCCGCGTAAAACGAGCGAAACGTCGCGGCGGTGGGTCTGGATCCGAGACGTCATCTGTTTCAACGTTGCTGGTGTTGGCACTTGCTCGCTTCCTCTCACTAACCTAGCTACGTCTCGTTCCTGTCGTTGCAGGCGAAACCACTAATCCCCCGGTTCAGGGCTCTCCCGTAACGCGCACGCGACGCAAGCGACCGTCTCTCTAACAGAGCAGGTTTGGCGTACCGGTGGGCAGCAGCAGCAGCAGCAGCAGCAGCAGCAACAACACGATGGCCGTGAACGTGTACAGCACAAACGTGACGACGGACAACATCAGTCGGCACGAGATGCTCAACTGGATCAACGACTGCCTGCAGACGAATCTCGCCAAGATCGAAGAGCTGTGTAACGGTGGGTGGTCACGACGACGACGACGACGACGTCTCATCGGTTCCTCGCCTCGCGTCGCAGTGTTCTGACCTCGTCGTGAAGGGAAACGGTTTAAGCGTGGTTTCAATGGGAATGGGATACATTACTGGTGATTAATCCTCACTACTGCTTTTCAGGGTGCCCATGCATGGGTAGTAAAATTTGCTTCGTGCAAAAGTATGTAGGTATGCGGCACAAAAATCGTATACAGTATATGTATAAGTCTTGCAGTTCTAAGAAATGGAACTGTATAGTTTTGAAAAACTCCTGCAAACCTGAAAAAAATTACCCTTGGGTGTGCGAACCATAGCTTTTTCAGAGACCTGACCGGGGTGGTATGTTTTTCGGTGGCGGTGTTGAAGTCTACTAGCTCTTAATATTCCTTTTGGCTTATGTTGGTGAAGGTGTTGGTGTGTTTAGCAATATTGCAAGTCGAATAATTCGTACATGTATGCTTATAGCCAGCCGCAATAATCGTGGCATGCTTTTAATGGCATATGCGCAAAAGTGGCAGCGTGCAGCGTGTTCTTTAATGTAGACTTTAACCCATAAAGGGTTTCAATCAATAACATATATGATGAAATCAATAAATTCAAGGAAGCCACTGAGATCTGTGTGTGTTCGTACCTTCTGTGCATTCGGAATGTAAAGCACTTGACCTTTGCTGTGTGCTAGTCCTGCGTATGTAATCAGATAATGCTGTTGCTTACATTCAGGTGCCATATACTGCCAGTTCATGGACATGCTATTCCCAGGTAAGACGAGGCCGGCGTCTGTAGTTCTGATGCACTGTTTGTACAGCTAATCAGAGGCAGAGAGAGACAAATTGCTTGTGAATTGCGATCAGGGTTATCACTCCTGTTCAAACCCATAACTGCCAAATAATACGCCAACAATTTACAAACATAAAACTGTTCATTCCTGAAAATTTCAATAACCGGATAACCACGATAATTTAAAAACACAGTCACTGTATGAGTCATTGAGGTGCCTTAAATAGCCTACATTTTATAACACCATAGTAGATTTTTTCAAAAAAGGTGTATAATTTATAGAGACTGCCCTGGCAGCAACCATGAGGATCCAAATTGCGCATGACATGTATTTTAGGCTTTTGACACATGCACATGGCATGTGCCACATCACACCCTGAGAATTTTTAGTCGAAGTTGCGCATTCCACCGAGGAGATTTTTGTACGCACTATTAACCACTTACACACTCCGTGCTAGAGATTATTGCTTTCAACTATCGTGTAATTACTTCTTAAAATAATTAGGTTAATTTTTTTTTGTTAGGACAGCTTCTTACGCCCGCGTAATGATTGCTTGGCTCCTTATATGGAGTGTAGTCGAAGTTGCGCATTCCACCGAGGAGACTTTTGTACGCACTATTAACCACTTACACACTCTGTGCTAGAGATTATTGCTTTCAACTATTGTGTAATTACTTCTTAAAATAATTAGGTTAATTAGTTTTGTTAGGACAGCCTTTTACGCCCGTGTAATGATTGCTTGGCTTCTTATATGGAGTGTACCGAGAAGTACGCTGTAGTGTAACGGCTCGTGCATGATCCCGTGAAAGCTCTGTGATTGCCCAGGCTAACAATGTTGGCCGTTGTTCAACGCTGTAGCTGTACAGCTTTGTTCAGGCAGAAATAGAGTGTGTGCGTGATGTCGTGTGATGTAGGGGGTGGCAGTTTCACGTAGTTGCTATGGTCATAAATGTAAAAGCACCAGGAATATGAGTCGTATATTACTGGCCTTTTTCTTTTTTCGTAGGCTCAATTAATCTGAAGAAATGTAAATTTAATACAAAGTTGGAGCACGAATGCATAGCGAATTTCAAACTGCTACAAGCGTCCTTCAAGAAAATGACCATCGATAAGGTAAAACTGTGATTCATTTGCTTCTAATCTCTGTGTTAAGACTTGCTATAGACTTGCTCATACTAACCTGAGAAGCACTCATAAAAAGAGTGTCATTTAGTCCAACCAAATGCACTTTGTATGACATTGGACTCCCACTCACACAGTTGTTCAAAATCTAGTGAACGTGGACCGACGAATGTGCTCCGTGTAACATAGACACACACATGCATGGTTCAAAATATGAACATAAAGATTAACGTACGTGAATCGGTAGATGTGCTATGTGTAACATTGGATGCACAAGCACACTGTTGTTCAAAATATAGTGAGCGTTAAAATTAAATTACACGACTAGTCGAATGAGCTCTGTGTAACATTGGATGCACATGCATACGGTTGTTCAAAATATAGTGATCGTTCAAAATATAGTGAACGTGAAAATTAAGTTACGTGACTAGTCGAATGAGCTTTGTGTAACATTGGATGCACGTGCATGCGGTTGTTCAAAATATAGTGAACGTGAAAATCAAGTTACACGACTAGTCGAATGAGCTCTGTGTAACATTGGATGCACATGCATACGGTTGTTCAAAATATAGTGATCGTTCAAAATATAGTGAACGTGAAAATTAAGTTACGTGACTAGTCGAATGAGCTTTGTGTAACATTGGATGCACATGCATGCGGTTGTTCAAAATAACGAATGAGCTTTGTGTAACATTGGATGCACGTGCATGCGGTTGTTCAAAATATAGTGAACGTGAAAATCAAGTTACGTGACTAGTCGAATGAGCTCGGTGTAATATTATACGTACATGCACACGTTTTTAGCTCACCTTGACATCGTCAAGATGAGCTATTGCCATGGGTCGTCGTCCGTCGTACGTCCGTCCTTTCGTCAACATTTGGCTACGGTCAACGATAACTCAGGAACCGTTTGACCCACATGTTTGAAATTGGGTATAGTTGTTACTGCTATGGGAGAGGTTTGAACGTCATATTTTGGAGCACGCCAGTCGACGTACTTTCGAGCCAAGGCAATTTTTTGGCAAAAATGGAAATTGCCATTAGTCAGTTCAGGTTCAACGGATTTTGCTCATTTTTGGTATGTGAATGAATAAGGGCTGGCCCCAAAACGTTTTACAGGGGTTTTGATATTTAAAAAAAAAATTATGCAAATTAGGTAGGTTTTGGCAATTATATAGCACATTATATAGACACGCAGATAACAATCTGTGGTGTCACACTTGTCTGGTTCGTTTTACAAGATTTCATTGACAATATCTTTAATGCAAAATTGGTATTTCCTCTCCACCCTGCCGATAAAACGTCTATATTAGAGTAAAGTTTTACAAAACATGTCGGAACGCAGCATAACCTATTTATTTCGAACGCTATCACTAAGTAACATCAAAGCGGGTATAGCGCCATCTACCGTCACAAATTGCGATTCATTTTGGTTTATAAATTGTTATTGCGATATACAGATGTCAACCGTGTGCTACCGCCTAGAAAAACTCATACGAAGTAAACACTTCCATGCAACCACTCCATGCAACACTTCCATGTACAATGCACACTTCCATGCACTTCCATGCACACTTCCATGCAACCAATTAACCTTTGACAAAAGTTGTGTTATGGGCAGGGAAACACCATTGTCACGTGGTATAGCAGCTACGTGGAATAAGCGTATCCTCTCAATCTTACACGTTACACATCGTGAGCTCCACTTTAAAGTGTGTACTGCGAGAATTTTCTAGTGTTTTCCCCACTTTCATGATACCTACCGTTATTGCTTGAGTAACAGCAATTGTCTAGAGTAACGATAAAATGTCTTAGAACCTTCGTATTCACCAAATTCAATGAAATCATGCACGATTACAAGTTTGTGTTCAGTTTCTGTTTACCGTTGCCATCTCTCGAATTTTTTTTCGTGGTAGCGTGAGACATCTATCACGGTGCAGCAATGCATACCACGCACCGTAGAAATCAGGTCAGAGTGTAAACACAGCCGCTCATACTAGCGTAAACAGCAGTGTAGTACTAATGCCACGTAAAGTCTGTTATTAGAGAAGCTTGTGGATTGCCAGTCAGATAGTAACAAGGGGAATGACAATGACAGAAAGTGCTCTGAATTATTGACATAAAAACTCAATAATATTTATTAAACAGAATTGCACGCCCTTTTGTTTTAATTATGTTCGCTTGTTTGAGACGCCATTTGTAATTTTTGAGAGTCACTACTCGGAAAAATTTATTGCTGGTATGATGTGGTCAAATCAATTTTTCTATGCTATAACTGCATAAAATCTTGGTGTTTTGAATGTTGGTATAATCAGTGATATTTCCACTGTCAGATGAGACTATATTCTGCTATATTTCGTTTTTCTGAGCCAAAAAACTCGCGGTACACACTTTAAGGCGGTGCCTAAATCTGAATATTATAAAAACGTTAAATGGCGATCATTTAGGTGTAACGCCATCACTCGCCCACAACTCAGACTTTCACATCTCAAACATTTATTTTCACATAAAAAATTACACATATAATTATCAAGAGTATATAATAGGAGTTATGGGATAATACTCCCATATATACTCTTCGTTTCTATAATGTACGTCGATGGTTGCTCAATTAAAACTGACTTCTTCTCACTAACTCATTTGTGTCCTTTTTTGTGGTGAGCTACAGTGTCATTGACACTTTCATTTCTAAATATGATGAAGGAGAAAGTCGAAATACGTGAACCAGCAAATTTACTCCAGCCTGCTCTTTCAGATCATCCCAGTAGAGAGGCTCGTCAAGGGACGGTTTCAGGACAACTTTGAATTTGTGCAGTGGTTCAAAAAGCTGTTCGACGCGAACTACGACGGACACGAGTACGATGCGGTGAACGCGCGCGCCACAGGGGGCAGCACCGGAGGCTCGATGGAGCAGCTGCGGCGACCTGCGCCGACGCGCACGGCGCCGCCGCCTCGCCCCGTCGGCAAGGCTGGTGAGTACTGCAGCCGTCACGGCCGAAACACTCGGTGAGGTGCGGTGCGTTGCACGTATTTTCTCAAATTTATTTTCGGGGAAAGTATTTCACTCGAAGGTGGGTCACGCAAACGCCGCTCGTTTTTTCTTTCTTGTTTCGAAGGCCCTCATTCGTTTCTGTTTGTGTACTAGTTGTAATGTAAATGCTTTGCAATGTAGTGCCAGGACTTTGGTGTGGTGACATAAGGATACAGAATTTTGTCGATTAATATCGATTGAGTAATGTTACTTTTGTTTTGGCTGAGCGATCGCGACCGGACGAATCTAATAAAAGAAACGTGTGTAGAAGTCTAGGAAGTTATCAAACTTTTTTTTAGTCTTGTGCGGTCCAAAGGTGACCGGGCTCGTGGTTCTAGGCTGGTCACCCGCTGCAGATGCTCATGTGTTTCGCTTTTGCAGCTCCGCGAACAAACGCGACGCCGAAGCAGCGTCCCGGTGCCCGGCCACCAGGTGGCGTGGCGAACAACGCACAGCTTGAAGAGGTTACAAATCAAGTAAGTCGTGGTGTCGTGAGCGCTGGGCATGGGTCTTGGTGAGGTCGCCACCTGTGGTCCTTTTCCTATAGAGATCCATTACAATTGACCTATCCGTCTTAACATGAAAACCACATCCCAATTGGGGACCCCCTCTAAAATGCCCTGTACGAGCTCATACCATGTTGTTCACGCATAACCAAGTAGCGTTTTCAGAAAGCCCTACTGCTAATGTGATCGGTCCAGCTGGATAGGTCAACTCCGTTGTGCTGTCGTTTGTCACCGTTGTCGTGCGCTCGCTCGCCTCTGCTTCCGTTCTCGCCGTGCCTGTGTTCGTTGCCTCTCACCTCACACGGATTGCAGGTGCAGCGGCCAATGAGGAGGCTGCGTTCCGCACCTTCCCTCGTGCAGAAGCCTACCGACACAGCAGAGGTACACGAAGTCTTGTTCTACCTGTTCTGCCTACTGTGTGTTCGTGTGTGTGTGTGTGTGTGTGTGCGTGTGTGTACGTGCATGTGTGTACGTGTTTGTGCGTGTGTGTGTGTGCGTGCGTGCGTGCGTGCGTGCGTGCGTGGATGTGTGCGTGCGTGTGTGTGTGTGAGCGTGCGTGGGTGTGTGTGCGTGTGCACGTGGGTGCGTGTGTGTGTTTGTGTGTGCACATGGGTGCGTGCGTGTGTGTGTGTGTGGGTGCGTACGTGTGTGTACGTGTTTGTGCGTGGGTGTGTGTGAACGTGGGTGTGTGTGTACGTGTGTGTGTGTGCGTGCGTGCGTGTGTGTGCGTGCGTGGGTGTGTGCGCGTGTGCACGTGGGTGCGTTCGTGCGTGGGTTTGTGTGTACGTGTGCATGCGTGTGTGTGGGTGCGTGTGTACGTGTGTGTATTTGTGCGTGCGTGCGTGCGTGGCATTCAAGCATCCTTCAAGTTTGTCCCTCTCCAAGAAATTCTTCCTGGGTCTGCGCAACCAACCATTGCTGAGTGAGCAAGCCGGTTATTATAAATACAAGGCTATGTGGTAAGAAGCCAAGAAGACACACCCGTTCGTTATCTTACTCTAGTACTCGTTTATTTGTGCGCGTGTGGCCATTATTTTCGAATAAACACATTTAAATTTCTACTCGTTTCTCACATTGTCAATGATTGCAACAGAGTTGCCAGCTTCCTTTGTTAGCTGTCTCTAAAGGAAAGGGAATATGAAGAACAGAGGCTAACAACCCATATAACAGTAAAAAGCTTTGCTGGACAAAGCATGTTACAGAAAACAAAGCAATGCAGTTGTGGAGGCCCTACTTCTGCAAATTAATTTTAAAATTTAAATAAAGATAATGGCAAATAAATAAATAAGTAGTAGCTAGAAGAAGCTTTATTATATTGAGAAATTAGTGAAGTTTGATCTGCTAGATAAATATTTTCTCTTAGAGTTAGTATTTATAATTATTTATGGTAATATATAATGAATAGTATTGGTAGGATAACTAATTACATACATATTTAAAATTGTGGCTTTCAGTTAAATAATTCATTTTTTTAAATCGATGGAAACCACATTTTTAGCTCATCTGACATAGTCAGAGGCAGCTTGTAGAATCGCATGAGCATGCGTCCGGCCGTCCGTCTGTCAACAGTTGGGCACCAATCTTAATCGCTCGATGTACGGTCACGATATTCAGGACGTGGGGGGGTAATCTGAAAACGAGTTGGAATGTCGAAGCTGGGGGTCAAAGGTCAAGAGGTGTAAAAGAAGGGGGAACATTCCCTCCTTAACTTAAGGTATAGGGAGGAAATGCAGAATTGCGGCACAAATCTAAACGGCTCGACCTAGGCTCGTGATAGTCGGTGTATAGCATCATGGTAGGAAAAGCCATCACTGTGCCGAAATTGGAGGTCACAGGTCAAAGGTCAATGGGGCACAGGGCAGATTCTATACATTTTCTGAGGTGACTTTTTTTTTTAGCGGTGACCTACCATTTTTATGGCTTTATTGAAAGGACCCATGAAATGTACTTTCCGCTGACATGCGAAGAGTAAGTGTCGGATAACCTTTTGATCCTCAAGAGGAGGGTTAAACATGGATTTGTTAGTAGAATCTATACATGCCTGGACGTATGAGGCTACAATGTCACATTGAAATTTCAAAAGCTAAATTTGGTTGAAGAAGGTTTATGCTCCTTAAATTGTATTTCTATGGCATTCTGTACTGTCAGTGTGTTACATGTAACTTATGCCACTGCCAGTAGCCACTGCCAGTGCATGTGGTGGTGATAGTACAGTGTCGTTTTTGCCTGTGTTAATTAGTTACAGGTGGCAGCTCTATTTCAGCCTGTAGGCTTGCGTAGGTAAATGGATGAGTGCTTACCTATTCTGTTTTGCAAATAGTTGTTGCTACTACGTACGATGGGAGCTTCCATCTTTAATCTTAAGACACTTAAACGTACGCGTCATCCCGTGGCAACTTTCATAACGATCCCAACGAACATTCCTTCGAGAAGGTTCCTGATACCATCCCTGTGCCGTCCACTGTTTCGGCGCATATGTGAACACATTTGGGACTAACAGGGTTTACTAGAATCCCACCACTCCACCACAGAGTCACCGCACTAGACGTGAGATGAGCGCTGTCGCTCCGCGGCACTTGTTGGTAATAGCGTTTCCTGCAAATATTGCATGATCGGTAAAACTAATGAACTCGCCCTTCTTGCCTTGCTAGTTATCAGAACTGAAGCTGTCTGTGGAAGGCTTGGAGAAGGAGAGAGACTTCTATTTTGGGAAACTGCGGGACATTGAGGTGTTGTGCCAGGAGGTCGAGGCCGATAACTTGCCTGTCATCAAGAGCATAATGGAGATACTTTATGCCACCGAGGTATTGTTGGCATTCGGGGAGAAAATTATTGTAAAAGTTTCCCGTAGTATGTTTTTAGGAGGAATCGAGTTGTTTCGTGGGGGGGTGGGGGAATTATCACGAAGGTTTATGGTAAAGTGTTTTTATGAGAAGGTTTATGGTAAAGTGTCTTTATGAGAATCGAGGTTTTTGGTGGGGAGGAAATTATCACAAAGGTTTCCGGCAAACTGTTTTTAGTCGACTAGTACTAAAAAGTGTGCTAACCATCGAGCTACGAAAATCGTTCTACGATCGTAATCATCCTCGTAATTGTGTTTTTGCACTAACGCTAAGCCAGGCTTAAGTGTTTGGTCTCTGGGTAGGATTATGTGAGTCGATAGATGGACAACGTTTATACAACCCGGCATCGTGAATGCGCACTACTGGTCGGCACATCACCGCTTGCGCGTGTGTCATTAGACGTTAGAGTGCGTTGATATGTGTAGTAACTGCACAGCATTGCAAATGTATGTGTGTTGTTATAGTGCGCTAATATGTGTAGTAACTGCACAACATTGCAAATGCGCATGAAAACGCCTCGACGTTTCTCTGCAGGAGGGGTTCGCACCACCAGAAGAGGGAGAGGAGGGATATGAGATGCCACCAGAGGGCGAGCCCGAGGAGTTCTAGAATGCGTCGCTGCACCCGGCCTCCTCACGTAGATCGCCGCCCGATACACATCCGATCGTAATCTGCATTTCTCTGCTGCGCTAGCCCGTCTACGATCGCGCTTCACTCGTCTGCCACACGTTTCTCTCTCTCATCTTCGCGCGCAGCGTTTAAACCCCGGTTTGCCACTGCCTTGTGATGCGCGCGTGTTGTCGTAGCGACGGCGGAACCCACGAATGCAAATCCTCGGTCGCGTGTGTCGCTTCGTGCCGTGTCGCAATCTCTGCTGCTTCGTGGCACCTGCTGGTTGTGTGTGCGTGCTGTGAGCTGTGTGTGTGCGTGCGTGCGTGTGTGTGTGTGTGTGTGCGTGTCATCTGTGAGTGCATACACGTGTGGTGTGTGTCTATTTGCGTGTGTGTGAGATATGAAGATCTATCAAATGAATTGAATGCTGGCCCCGTTGTAACACCTGCGAGCGTTGGACACCATAGGTTGCTTCGTAACGAAATCCTATTTGATCGCGTTCGTTAGATGTAATTGATCGGCTGTTACTTTACCCTTTTTCGTGAGGTGGAGTTTTGAATCTTGTTTTCCCCTGAATCGCCACCGCGTCAATGAATTCATTGTTTGTTTGTCTGATTATCTGTACAAACTCATGAGTTTACCTTACTTTCCCCTTAATTCTGTTAAGTCACTTGCTTGTTTGTATTATGTTCGTAAATAATGCATGCCATGTGGCGTAACATGCCATGATGTGACGAGACATGCCATGATGTGACGAGACACGCCATGATGTGAAGTGACACGCCATGATGTGAAGTGACACGCCATGATGTGAAGTGACACGCCATGATGTGAAGTGACACGCCATGACGTGAAGTGACACGCCATGATGTGACGAGACACGCCATGATGTGAAGTGACACGCCATGATGTGAAGTGACACACCATGATGTGAAGTGACACGCCATGATGTGACCCGATGTGAAGTTTGCGGTGGCAACTGTTCTACCTTTCTCCGTGTGACTGGACGTTAAATTTTCCTAGCACCGTCGGTACTTTTAGGTTGTATTTATGTGGTGAAGCGTCAATGCCTTGATCGGTTGTTAAGTGTGTTCCCGTGAGCTCAAAAAGCCGGTGCCACCTTTTGCACGCCAGTTAACGTTTATGTATATAGCGATCTAGCGGGAGCGACCGTATGTTGCCGGGTCGTTAGAGGGAACGTGCCGCGAATGCTCATTTCGCCCGCCGATGTACGCCGGCGTTTCCAAGCAAGGGCATCAAGAGCCGGCGATGTTGAGTTTTGGACGACGTGGTTGCGATCCACTACTCGTGGTTTAGGTTTCACTCTGTGATGGTTTTGATGCGGTCCTGGACTTGCGAGCGAGGGCGTGTCGGAAAGATACGAATGTTCTTAGAGAGTCTCGTGCGTCGCTACATCAAACAGCCTACCTAACAGCTCATCGTCGTCGTCGTCATTGCTGTTGGTGAAACTAATTTACAGCTAAGCCTAATAGACAGGCACTCTTCTATAAAGGCGTTTGAGATCACTACAGATCGATACACTACAAGAGATAGTTCTCACTCGTATGTTTCTACTATGCTGATCTATTGCTATGCGTAGATGGGCTGTTTGATGTGGCAATGTTTATGGCTTCAAAAGGGCAAGTTATATAACACTATGCTTAATACTCGGAATCGTTGTCCAACTGCGCGCTGGTTTGATTCTCGTATGCGATATGCATGCAGAGAGCATACAGCGCGTCGTGCTTGTCTATAAAACGGTCGGAACTGTCGATATTACTGGTTGAATGCATTGCCCGATTGTTCGTAATAAAAGAGCAGGTTACCACTCTAATGATGATGCAGTTTGCATCTTTACTTGTTTCGTTACTGCTGCTTGAAAAAAGGTGTGTGCGATTAAGATTGTTCGTCTTTTGATTGCTCTTTGCAAATATCTGCAGTGAAATGTAATGTAAAACTTTTTTGTTTTAAGAAAAAAATGATTTTATTCACATGATCGACTGCATTAGATGACTGATTCAGACAATTCAATATAGACCAGGGTCCCCACACCCCTTGAAAGTCCTTGAATTTTGTCTTTGAAAGTCCTTAATTTTTCCTTGGAAATAGGTCCAATTCCTTGAAAAGTTTTTGAAAATGTAATTCACACTTGTGGGAACCAAGTACTGAGTACCTAGCAGTAATAATGTTCCATATAGAATCAACCATCACGAAGAACCAAGAAAATATCAATAATACCTTTTCATTCAATATCTGGTATTTTATCTATTTCTATCTACCTATATCTGATATGTCTATCTATTTCTATCTACCTATATCTGATATGTCTATCTATTTCTATCTACCTATATGTCATGTCTATCTATTTATATGGTATCTATTATCTATCTAATATTATGTGTATACATATAGCGCCCGAGAAAGAGAGAAAAATTGCGAGAGAGTGTGTTCGTGCGTGCGTGAAGAGAAATATTGCGAGAGGTGGGTGAGAGTCACGGAGAGGGAGAGGGTGAGCGGGAAGGCAAGAGAAGTAACTATATTAGAAGGAATGTGTGCATCCGTGCCTGTGTTTGTGCCGTACGTGCGTTTGTCTGCGCGCGTGTGCTGCGCATGCGTGTGCACTGCACATCTCTGTCTGCATTCCCACCTCCCTCCGCCCCTCTGCTTTCTCTCCTCTTTCCTTTCTCCTCCCCTCTCACTCCCTTCCCCTCAGTATTTCCCTCCCCCCTCTCGCGGATAGTATCGCCCACGGCATCAGGTGCACGGTGAAAAGTTAGCCAGGCAAATGGCAGGTTTTCAACCTGAACTTTTTCACACACCCCCCCCCAAAGCACAAAATATGATTATTCGGCTATAATACGCGTTTTTACAGTCACACAAACACACATACACAAACACTAACGGACGCGCACACGTGGGTATGGTCGCACGCACGCGTGCGCGTGTATTATAGGCGTAAATTCACATTTTTTTCCTCAGGGTGTGAAAAAGTTTCAGCCGAAATACGGCCATTTGCGTGGTGAAAAATTTCCATGCTTGATTGGTCGTGGGCGATACCATCCGCGAGAGGGAAGTGAGAGGAAGGGAAAGAAACGGAGAAAGCCGAATATAAATATATATATATATATATATATATATATATATATATATACAGCGCCCGAGAAATATATAACCGTGTTCACCGTGTTCTTGACGCCGTGGGCGATAACATCCGCGAGAGGGGAGTAAGGAATAAGTGATTATGTTTATTCACTGTTAATCATAAATGTCACTGCTAGACACAGCAAATGAAAGGTCAGCATAAAGAGCCGGCAACTTTATTATTATTATAAATCTTTATTGCATGTAATTCAACAACAAATACATGTATTGAAGACAGTCTTTTTCATGGAGAAAAAATCTGATAAACGCAATAGTGTTTAGCAGTTAAAATAATAAAATTTCTGAGTGTTACAGTACATTGTGTGATACACAGTTGTGAGTGATACATGTTACATCAAATCTTTACATATTGTTACAGGATCGTCACATGAATCTACGTGAATGACAATATGAAACGACTATTATGTACGTTGGTAATCGGCGAGCTATAGCAGCTGTTTAATCTGCTGTCGGCACTCGTATAAAACAACTATTTTTACTTTATATATGAATCTAAGGTATATATGATGACTCTAAAAAGGTAAAACTACTTGTCACAGATTGTCCTTGAAAAAACATGTCCTTGAACTGTTGAAATGTCATTGAAAAAATAATTCACACTTTTGTGGGAACCATGTAGACTGATTTCACTCCATTGTGGCTACACTGGAGGACTAATACACAAATGTACATATACCTGGAAGCAACGGTTATACATCAGTAGTTGGTTTCATCCATTGATATAAAATTCTCAGACTGCTTAATCAACAAATAAAAGCAAATTGCACGACCTTTCATCACGTAACGAATTCATAGTTAAATAGTTTGGCTCCTAAAAGCCATATAAGAACTATGCTGCACCTCTCTTTACCTTTATGTACATACAAACGCCTACAAATTTCTTCGTTCATAAGTCTATATTATATGTGTATATATATATATATATAGTAACCCATGAAATAAATGCATGAACGATCACATATCACAGTTGGTAGTAAATTTACAGATCGGCACTATTTAACATGATTTCTTTCCATACAAACTGAATTGACTGTACAAGTGGTAGCAGCTAGGACTGGCACTAGTTTAACATGCACTTGTCGCAGCAGCAGTTTCACGACATTAGCAGCCGTAACCATGGTAACTGTAGTAGAAGTGACAGTGCTCAGCAATACATCAGCAACAACATTTGCAATCGTCGTAGCAGAATCAGTAGCACAAATAATTCACAAGAGGTGAGCCAGCAGCAGTAGCAGCAGTAGCAGCAGCAGAAGTAGCACTAGCAGGAACAGTAGTAGTAGCAGCAGCAGCAGCAGCAGTAGCTGTAGCAGTAGCAGTCATCACTAGTAGCAGC